AGATCAGAGCCCATGGATGATATACAGTCGGGGAAATGCCTGGTGGGGGGAAAAGGCAGACAGGGGGGAAGAAAGACCGAAAGTGGTGGCAAAAGAGAGAGGATCAACAACAAGGCGTCTTATGGGTGTGGATGTATTTGTGGATTGTTGAGTGGGAGAGGGGAGTAGGAGGATTACATGGATTTTGTGTGTGTGAATGTGTGTGTAGAGAGAGGAGAGAGGGAGGGAGAGAAATGTCTCCAAGGGGTTTGGGATGCTGGCACATTGCAGTCACCATCGCAGCTCCCCTTCTGCTGACAGAGAGAGAGGTGTGTATGCGGTGTGTCTTTCGCCCTGCGGAGAAAGGCGCGTTTCTCTGCACGAAAAGGCGCAAACACTTCCCCTGTCGCAGTTGGAGGAGGAGGGGGGGGGGGGTGCTCGCCTCACATTCTCCCAAGCAGCGGACATACCGCATGCCGGTGTAGCGACGCCATATGCAGAAGAATAGGCATACGTGTGTACATGTATGCACACATGCGATCGCAGCAGCAGCAGCTGAACTCGGGAGAAGAGTCCCAGTCGCTCGAATGGAGGAAGGGGGTGGGGGAGGAAGGAGAGGCATGCATGGACGCATGGAAAGGCCCTTGTCGGACCTTGAAAAACCCACGAGGGGTGCACAACCCAGCAGGAGGAAGGGCGTGCCAGTTTCAGATGCTCGGAGGAGTACACAGAGTTGTGGGGAGCTATCTTCTCGTCTCCATCAAGAAAGGAGGGGTAGAGAAAGCGCTCGCATCCAGAGCAATTGTTCTAACGAGAACGAGGAGGGGGGGGGGGGACGAATGACGTCGTGGTATGTGCGATCAACTGCTAGACCCATGTATCCTAGGGTGACACAGGGCCGAGGATCAGCACATGACTGCTCCATGTGTATATGCTCTTGCCCTCACGCACACTCGCACATGGGGGAGAGTGGGGCGCGGAGGAAGGCATGGGGGCACACACACGGACACGCACACACGCACACCAAAGGCCAGGGCCATGATGGCGCATTTAGTGGTGGGAGGGCTGGCGGAAGTTGGTGTTCCCGCCGCGCGCCTCATTGGCGCTCTCGACCGGCTGGATCTGACCCTTGCGCAGGATGGTCTGGATGATCTCGTCACGCTTCTCAGTGCCGAAGGCATCGGCCAGCTCCTTCTTGGAGGGGAGCTGCAGAGTGCGCGAGTCGGAGGGATGGTAGTAGATGTCATCCGTCTGGAGGACCTGGCGGGGGTGGATCTCCTCACGCTTGCCGGAGGCCGGCTTCGGGGTGTTGGGGTCGAACTGGCTAGCGTACTTGGCCGCGTAGCCGGGGTTGCAGAAGACAATGAAGTTCTGCTGGGGGTGCCCGGTGACGGGGTGGGGGGGGTTGTAGACGACCTTCTCGGTATGGGTGGACGACATGGTTGCTGAAGGTGGAGGGAGAAAGGGGGGAGAGGAAAAAGCGAAGAACTAGCTGAGAGTTGGGATCTGAATAGGAGTCAGTGGCTTTGATTTGGATGGGTGGGGACTGGGAGACGGGATGCTGTGGAGAGGGGAGAGGGGAGAGGGGAGAGGGGGGAGGGGGGAGGGGGGAGGGAGGGAGGGAGGGAGGGAGGGACATACACAATACAAATGATTGATGTTGGGTGATGAAGGTTGAGAAGATGGGGCCGTGGGGCGGGCGTTTATATACCCCCAGGAATCGTGAGGAAAGGCGAAGCCCATGACCGCACCCCCCTCCCCCTCCCCCTCCCCCCCCCCCGGGGCAGGGGGGCCTCCTCGCACCTGAGGAGGGCGTGCCAACACACGCCCTCCTACACACCCCCACACCCACACATACACACACATATACACACATACATACACATACACACATACACACACATACACACACATACACACACATACACACACACACCTCTCCGTCCTCGACAAAAACTTGCACGGCGCGGCAAGGGGGGAGGTGGCGAAGCGGACAACCAAACAGCCCTTGCCCCAGGCAGGACAAGAATGGACCCAGCCTCCCATGCAAGACCTGCCCCGGGGGGTAAGGGCACCAGGAGGACGAAGACGCCAGCCAGCGCGCCGCGGAGAGATGGGAGGAGACATGCGGCGGGGCATTCCGCCCCGCGTCGAACACGTTTCTCTGTCCCCCCCCCCCCCCCACACTGCCTCAATCGATGACAGAGGGCGGCAGGAGGTGAGGCAAGGACCCCTCGTCCCAGGAGGGGGAGGAAAAAAATATTGCGCAATCGCCGCCGTCTAGAGGCAGCAACACATCGCGTTCACATGCCTTCGGCCGCGGCTAGCGTCAGGCATTCCTTCCCCGAGAAGGCCAACAAGCAGCAGCCCCGATCAAATCTTGCCAGGCCTGCGAATAGGAGGTTCGTCCGCCGCTTCCGCCTCATGTAGGGAGATACCGAAAGGAGTTGTTGGAGGCGGCTCAGCTGGGCCATGTTGCCCGGGCCCAAAGCAGGAGGTCCCCTGGTTGTTGACCGGGGAGCCCGGCGGCAAGAGGTGCACACACACCTGGTTGCTCAACACAACAGGGGTCCGCACCTGGACGCGAGCGAGATGGGGAGGGGCGGACGGGGGGCGGGGGGTCGCTGGTTGCCCGCTGAGCTCCGATCGACTCGCGTTATCCCCACAGTGGGGAGGTGCCAGGGGGCAGGGCGGGAAGACTCAGTCATGGGCAGCAAAGCAGCGGGGGGCGGGGGGGGGGGGGGAAGGGGGCCACCCGTCCCGCCGCTCCCCGCCCCGAACTAGGTACTGTGGATCAAACACCAAATGGAGAACGAACGGGGCGGGGGAGGGACCGAGGGACCGTTCGAACGTGGGAATGCTAGGACCTTCGCGAAGGCCCAGCGCCCGCGTCCAGGTTAGCCGCCATATGCTCGGGTGCAAATGTGATGATGGCACACGAACTCTAAACGACGAATCGTTCCCAGGAAGCCCCGGGCCAGGGGGAGGGGCCAGTGCCTTGGCAGCACATTTCCTCTTCCCTCCCCCCCCCCCAAGAGCCCCTGGGGGGAAGAAACAACAAATATTGGGGATAAAAAATAAATATCCCCCCGCAGCGCGCCCCACAAACCAAGGTCCAGGAGTTCTCCCACGCTCGGGAAAGCACTCGACCGCGGTAGAATCTTCTTCGTGACCCCCCCCCCCGCCCTTGCCTTTGCTCCTGGCCTGACTCCTTGTTATGACCAGGCAAGCCAGGAATCTTCTTTCTGCCCCTCCGCCCCTCCGCCCCTCCCTCCTTCCTACGGCTCTCGCGCCGCTGTTCTTACGTCACTTGCGCGACCTCCGACCGGTGCTGACGGGGTTTGAGCTGCGAAAAATGCCACTTGAATACCAAATAAACCCGCCACAACCAATCACGCGCACACGTGCCAGATCCCCAGTCAAGACGCTGGGTGGTGATATAGGAAGCACATGATACATAACACTTCCAATCCGGCAGGCGATCCCCCAGCGATCGGGAATGGAGATAGGGCTGGCCCGCAACACCATCCGACCACCTTCTTCGCCCCGTGTGGGCCTTCGAGCGAACCCCCCCCTCCCCCGCCTGCCCATGCAGTTGGGGAGGGGCACGCTCTCCAGGGCGCCCGAATAAATCCCACCTACCAGGCGGTCCGCCGCAACCGCCCCCCAGATTCCTTCTTCCTCATCCTCCTCCCCCCACCGGGTGCCTCCCTCTCTCTCCCCCCCCCCCCCCCCCCCCCCCCCCCCCCCCCCCCCCCCCCCCCCCCCCGATCCCCTCCACTCAAGCCCTCTTCTGCTCACAGTATGACCCACTCCGACGGCCAGCTGGCCCTCTCCAATCCCAGCGAGCCTTCCACCTCGACGCAGGGGGAGAGACAGGTCATGATCCGGCCCGATGGGACACGCTTGGTCAAGGTGACCTCTGGCAATGGGCGGGTACGTGTGGCACTGCCCCTTCCTCTGGTCTCTTCTCCGCTCCATTTCGCCTCCCATGGAGCTGCATGGCCCGCATGGCATCTAACTTCTCTTCGGGCGCAGGAAATGTGGATTTTCGACAATTCCGACGCCGACCCCGATGACCCCGAGGTGGATGCGGAGCTGAACCAACTATTCGTGGACTCGACCAACCGTATGCGTGCCGAGATGGGCCTTCCTCCCCTCCCTGCGCAGCCCCATTTGAACACTGCTGATCCGGCGGCTGGTCCGCCGGATGAGTCTCCCCTAGCGTCGCTGGCCCAGCGAACCTGGCGTGGTATGTCTTCCCCGCTCGGCATTTGACTTGCTCCCCTCCACCTTCTTGCTCGACTGACCAATCCCCTCTGCTTGCTATCGTGCTAGGTGTCATCAAGGCCAGCGACTTCGTGGCCAGCATGATTGGTCTGAATGATCCCCTCTTTGATGTTGAGACTGACGAGCACCTTGACCGGGCCGAGGAGGCGAGCACAATCCATGCCACCTCCCACCCGGGCGAGGACGCCGATGGAGAAGACGATGACTCGGATGCCGACCTCCCGGCCGAGGCCGCCGCGTCTTCTTGGAGCAACAAGCACAATTCCAGCGCCCATGAAGCTTTCCCCTGAGGGCCACTCCCTGTGCCTCCGCTCTCTTTCTTCCTCTTCTGCCATCCCCCCCCCCCCCCCCCCCCCCTCCCTCTCCCTCCCTCTCCCTCTCCCTCTCTCTCCACTCCAATGAACATAAAATCAAACACATTCCATTTCGCGAAACTTAAAAGGCATGGTCGGCACCATTTTCCCGAGGATCGGCCACGCGCGAGCCGAACTGCATCGCTCGCTTCGGGCGATTGGCCGAAGCGGAAGGAGTCAAGTCGCACGAGTTGGCATTTTCACGCATCAGCGTGTCACACAATTCTCGAATCGGCCGTTTGTCTGCCCGGAGAAGCGCGGGGGGCCTGGCTTTTTCTTTTCCTCCCTCCCCTTCGTCCTCTTCATGGAAGGGCGCCCGGCAGGCCACCGGCCAGCCGGCCACCTCGCGCATCAAACGCTCACAGGCAAATGGCGCCGAGAGATGCCGGCCCCAGGCCCCGACTGCTCGATCGTCTCGACCAAAGTTCCGACCCGGCAGTCGAATCAAATCGGCGCGAAGCTCGGCTTCCAGACCAGTCGATCCACCGCGCTCGAATGCTCGCCGATGGCGCGTATACCCGCCGAAGAGCTCATCGGCTCCGGTGCCCACCAGAAGCGTCGACGCCCGAACCCAGTAGGGTCGACCGGTGGAGTGGAGAATGCCCTGGCCTCGAGCACCAAACCAAAGAACCCGCGCCAGCGACAAGTCCAGGACCGTGCGTCCCGGGAGACAGACTGCTGGCACGCCTGTCCCAGGGGTCGTGGGATCTGAGCAGCGATCGACCTCCGCACGGGGCGCATTCACGCATACCAATCTCCAGTCGCGGTCTGGATGGCGGCGGCTTGGATCGGCGGGGGGGGG